TGGCTTTACTCACTGATGCGCTGACTGTGACTGCCTCGTGAATGATGGTTGGGAGCGTGCTTGAGATCGGAAGAGCCACCTCGAGATCTGCTGGAAGACACGCAACGTGACAGCAATGATGTCTTGACGTGTCCAAGAGGAACCGCATCGGAATCAGCTACAGAAAATCTGCCGTCAAAGACACCATTTATCCAACAGAATAAGCTCACGAGCGCACGTCCAAAGGATCATCACCCTTAAGACAAGGAGAAGAGGCCAGAAGAACGAGAGAGGAGAAGGCGAAGTGATCCTCCTTCAACAGGGCATTTCACGATATGCACGGCTCTCGCTCCTGACAGGCTCCTCAAACCCCCCCTCAACAGTACACTAAGTTTCATGGATGTAGTCAAATTATGATTTGACCCTCCTTCAAAAGACGATCACGGATGAAAAGCAGAGGGTGCAGTGAAAAAGTTCAAACCACGCTCATACGCGGCCTGAGAGAAACGACTGTGAATGCAGAACTGGAGGGCGGTGAAAGAGAGAAAAAACAAAGCACTCTTCTTGCTACGCTGTTAACGCGACCGTACCCGTGAAAGCAGCACTCTTGAGAGTCGCGATAGGCAACTTGAGACCATCGGAATACCTAAAGCACTCAGTAATACATATGCCCTATCACATGATGTCGAGAGCCAGAAAAGGAAGTACGTCTGGATGAATAAGGGAAGGCCTCCAAAGGAAACAGCTCTGCTTATCCGCATCTTTCGTACACTTTTGGTACTTCTTACTGCGTAGAGGACCGAATATACCAACCATATACATACATACCAATTGACGACGAACGCACATTTAGTGAGGCGAAAAAGGGATATCCTATGTGAACCAAGAAAGCACAAAAAGAACGTAACAACATACCAGCATGTGCACTATGCGATAGAGAAAGGAGGTCACAAACTGACAGTAAGAAAGTATATAAGAAAACGGCACTACAAAAAAGGTCCACTACGAACCCTCCTTGCCAGACCTGCCACCATCTTGTGGCTGGGTCCTATCCCTCTCCTTCTCGACAACCCAGGACGACGGATAACGCAAGAGGCATGCATCCTTCTACACCTCCCATCCCTACCCCATGAAGTACAACCGATCGACGCTACGGCTGGACACCCCAGATGGTAGTGGAGATGAAAACAAGGGCACCAATTATACAAAGACTCATTTAACAGCTCGGGAGATGCTGAAGCAGCACGACCTGTCCTCCACTTTGCGTCCGGGCGCCTGAAGGACGACAACATGTAGCAACCGTCGAGAACGACTGGGAACTATGTCGATAGACCACTGATCTGTGTTCATTCACCTATTTTCCAGCAGTATCAGACCGGTCAATGCCGGTCACAGCACCAGCAAGCTCACGGGGCACTTCTGCATCACCCTTGTGAGCCACCGCTCCTTTCAGCATCCCTTCTTGGGTCCGAAAGAGTTCACGACGTGTAGGGCGGCAGCAGGCACCCGATGGTAGGCAGTAAGGAGGAGAACATCCGGAACCAGGACAAGGGACACATTGCTGCACCGACGGCTGAAGGACGGCCAGAAGAATGACGAGAGCCAAGATGAGCTTGTCGGATAAATAGCGTGCTCAGTTTGCTCGTAGAGTAGTTGATGACCGAGCAGATGGAGTCAGAGTCTTTTTCTCTTTGGAAAGACCCAGTGTGCCTAACGCACTCAACGCTATGCGTTGGGCCCAGAATAGTAGGCTCCGTTTCCCGAAGCTACCTAACAAAGCGGGTATCTCCCTGGGCTCTGCCAGGGGTAACTGGCCAGACGGTATTTCGGTGGGTTCTGCTGCTCGTTTCACGTAGCAGCCTAAGCTCGGGCTTGAGTGCCCTTCGACACCCCCTCTCACTCAAGACCCTCTACGATGCCTAGAGTAAAGCCATCTGCCAGATCTACATCTGCTCTGCCTCCCCTCATGCATCCATATCGGATTCCTCATCAGATTCCACATCCATCCTTGTGCCCCTCGGTAAGAGGAAGTCTTGCGTGGCGTGTGACGGGTTGCTGAACAGCTTCTCTGTCACTGGTGTGTGCTTGCCTGCAGGCAGGTTCTTGGTGAGCACATCAGCCACGTTCTCAGCGGATGGGATCCAACCAACCTCCACCTCGCCCGCCTCGACCTTCTCACGCACCAGGTGATACCTGACACGGATGGCCTTGGTCCTATCAGACATCTCTGCGTTGTAGGAGACTGATTGTGCTCCTCTGTTGTCCACCAGGATTGTCGTTCTCTCCGACTTGGTGCCGAATGCCTGTAGGAGCTGCTGAATGTGAACAATCTCACGCGCACACTCGCTGGCTTCGATGTACTCAGCTTCAGTGGTGCTTGCCGCGACGATTGGCTGGTTCTTGCACCGCCAGGCGACGGGATTGCCGCACAGGTAGATCACGTAGCCTCCCGTGCTCCTGCCATTCTCCAGGTCAGCATGACTGGAATCAGCATAGGCGAGGATCTTCACGCTCTTGTCTGCTGGTCTCCTGAAGGTCAACGCTCTTGTCGCTGTCTCCCTCAGGTACCGGATGATGTGCTTGACAGCCTCCCAATGGCGCTTGCCAGCACAGTTGCAGTACATGGCGCATTCCTTGACTGCGTAGGCGATGTCGGGTCTGAGCGTCACTGCAGAATACAGTAAGCTGCCGACAGCCTCGCGATATGGCACTTTGCTCATGTGGTCGTGCTGCTCCTTTGTTGTAGGTTCCATCGTCTTGGAGAGCTTGACACCAGAGGGAAAGGGCGTCTTCGCACCTTGGCAAGGTATCTCTCCATTTCGATCACTCATGTTGAACCTCTGGATGAGCTTCTGCACGTACTTCTCTTGTGAGAGTGCCAAGATGCCTTCTTCCTTGTCGTAGGTGACCTTCATGCCCAGGAATCTCTCGGGATGTCCGAGGTCCTTGATGCCGAACTTGCCGTGCAGCTGCTGCTTGAACCACTCGGCGTCAGCCTCTCGACCCACTGCAGGTGAGTAGAGCATGTCGTCCATGACAACCACCACCCATAAACCCCTCTCGTCATGTGTGAAGATGCACGGCTCGACGCTGCTCTGTGTGAAACCGATACTTCTCAGGTAGTCCACCAGAGTGACGTGCCAGGCCCTCGGTGCTTCCTTGAGACCGTAGAGAGCTTTCAAGAGCATCCACACCATGCCGGGCTTCTCGTATCCTTCAGGGCAGTTCATGAAGACAGGTCGGTCTAGAGGGGAGTTGAGGAACGCCACATCAACATCGCATTGATACAGCGACCTACCAGCTAAGAGAACCAAGACAAGGAAGACACGCATAGCGACTTGTGACAGTGTGGGTGAGAAGGTCTGTGTGACTTCTTTTGGGTCTTGTGCGTATCCCTTGATCACTATCCGTGCCTTGAACTTGTCAGGCTTACGAGTGAAGACCCACTTGCTGGGCAGTATCTTCCCCGTTGCTTGTGATCGCGGTACGTACACATAGACGCCTTTCTCATCCATCGATGTCATCTCTTTGTCGCTTGCTTTCTGCCATTCCTTTCTGTCTTTGCAGGTCATGGCCTCTTTGTGCGTTCGCGGCTCGTCTCCAATGAAGAGATACACACCGTCATCATCATCTGTCACGTAGGCAACCACTCTCTCGTTGGTTTTGCCAGACAGAAAGCACATGTCTTTGTCTTTGCGTCTTTGTTTGCGTGCAGGCCCACGGGCGTATTGAGTGGTCCATGTGTCGACCGCATCCTCAACAACAGCGAAGAGGCACCAGATACGCTCTTTGAGCACCGATCTTTCTGCCGGTTCGCTCTCGGCGTCCGCATGGGCAGATATGAAGTCGCTACCAATTTGTGTGTTCCATTGGCGCTTACGACCAGATCTACGAGGACCTTGTGGCTCTTTGTTGATTGGATTTCCTTCCACATCAACGGCCAAGTCGTCATCTTCTTGCCCAGCCTCTTGTTCGTGGTCTGTCGCATTGTTCTGACCCTTGTGCATGCCCTCATCGTGCGCCTGACCTCCATCTGCTCACTCTCATGGGGATTTGGTGCTTGATCGAGTCCGTGCTCGTCAGCTCCCTGCATGAGTGGCCCTTCGGGGGCTAGTTGTGGCAGTGGCGGTGCGTCAAAGGCGTCTTCATCGATGGGCTGCTGGTCTGCGTCTTGCGCTTCTTGAGCGTCTGGCGCTTCGTAAGCGTCCTGCCCATGTGTGTCGCCATTTCCTTCCCCCTCTCGAATCGGTAGGAAGTATGGATTGACACCCTTCTGTACATTGAACATATGTTCAAAGAAGGTGGCTGTGTTTGTGACCTTTATTTGTCTTTTAGACGGTATCCAGAAGAGGTATCCGTCCTTCATCTGTGGATGATAGCCAACGAAGATCGCTGCGTCACACTTGGGACTGAACTTCGTGGCTCGCTCATGCTTCCGCACAAACGGGTAGGCTAAACATCCAAACACACGCAGTTTGCGCAGGTCAGGTTTGAAGTTCTTCCACATCTCATATGGTGTTGTGTTCCCTTTGTTGGTTCTGCAGGGACATCGATTGCGCACATAGGCGGCTGCTTGCACAGCCCACGGCCAGAAGCCCCGCGGCAGATTCGCCGTCACGAGCATCGATGTTGCCGTGTTGTTCAGCGTTTGTATCATCCTCTCGGCCACGCCATTCTGCTGATGGACGTGCGGGACGCTGAACGACTTGGCGATTCCGAACTGGGCGGCTGCATGGAGCAGATTGCCTTCAGCCAGCTCTATGGCTCCGTCACATCTCAGCTCCTCGATGTGTCCGACCTCCGCGATGTATCGTCTCAGGCCTGTGCCTGCATCGCGTCGACGCTTAAGAGGTATCACAGACACACGACGTGAGTAATCGTCCACGAAGACCATATAGTATTGGTAGCCATCGAGAACCGGTTTTGAGTGTGGTCCGGAGATGTCGCAATGCACCAGTTGACGCTTGCGTGTCGCCCTTGTGCCTGGTTCATTGTGTGGATTCTCTGTCATTTTGCCCTTCAGGCACCCAACGCATTTGCAGTCGGATGGAGGGATGTCGAACACAGGCAGTCCTTCACCGAGGTGTTTTCTGAGCAGATCCATGTCACGGCGATTGAGGTGTGCTAGTCGCTTGTGTTGCAGCCAGAATGTTGGATCTCCCTCCTCGGGTGGAACAGGTATCTGCACATCAGACTGCACAGGAGATGCAAACGGATCATGGCCAATGTGTTGGTTTGTTTGTCCTGCAGGATGGCCATTGTGTGTTTGTGGATCGTCTGGCGTGTGTCGATCCGATTTGTCCGTCGAGCAAGAGGGACCAGCAGCGTCGGGCTGATCTGAAGCCTCGACAACACCAGCAGGTTGCCCTTGACTCAGCAGATCCGCGGCAGGCTGGTGGGAGTCTGGAAGGCGTCCAAGGGTCGGTACATCGGTACTGAACCTCTTGCCGCACACATGACAGACATGCAGTGTGTGTGGTTGCCAGAGATCAATCGTTCCTTCCTTTGTGTGCAGGAATCGTTGGTCTGCAGGCGGTTCCACATGGGGAGCATTGCAGTGGCAACAAGTCACCTCAGCCCGCCCTGGGCTGTCCTGACCCCGACCTGGGGCATCGGTACGACCAGCACCGAAACCTCCCGAGAATGTGAAGCCGAGAAAGGTGGAACCTGACCGGTCAGCACACCACTTCGAGAAATAGGAACGGCACTTGCTGACTGCATTCATGATGCCTGTCATTGACTTCCCATTCGTTTCTTCCTTCTCCTTACACACAGGATA